AGAAGGGTATCAGAAGAACATCTTTAAGAAAAAAGTAGATTCATTTTTATGAAATAGCATGATTAAAAACCTTAATAATCTTAATTGTAGAGTGACATATGCTTCTCCTGTCATCAACCAAAAAAAGACAATTAGAATCTTTAGTAAAGGCAAAAGAATTGTATAACCCATGGTCCAAAGATGAAACAAATATGTGTGATTATTATGAGTAATCAATGGACATATGAAAAAAGAGAATCCATTTGACATTGACACCTAGAACATGTTCCTTCAAAAAGCATAGATTTAGTAACATGGTTTATATTTCTCTTTTACAAGTTCACTTATACTATTCAGCAGTGAATAAGATTTATTAAATTGTAATACTGAAAAAAATCACTTTTCAAAATAAATTTAAAGACAAAATGCAAAAGTCAGTTATTCTAACAGTGTAAATATTATAAGTATTGACTGTGTAAAAGTACTGGTACAGCTAATAAAGTTGGGAAATGGAGGGAAGTGAAAGGATGCAAATGTGTTAAACTTACATAATGGAGGAGTCAAGAGACATTTTCTAAAGTGTGGATGGACATACTTTCTAATGGTAGATCAAGAAATAGAGGTTTAAGTATATTTAAAGCAATTAAGTAACAAATAGAACTTAATGTATTATAATAAAAATTGCATAGAAGAGACTAGGGGAAGAAAAATGGAGGCTAATGTAATTAAGCCAAATTCTTGTTGTTCTTTTTCAAAGTGTGGAGGCAATTTTAAAAATGTCAGGAGTTGAAGCAAAATGTGGCAGTATGTGTGTATTATTTTCAAGTATGGAGGTAACTATCAGAAGTACTAAAAACAATTTGATGTAGCTACCTTTAGGGCAGTGTTTTTCAAACTGTGAGACTGAAATCAAGTTAGTGGGTTACAATCTACATTAGAAGGGAGAAGATGAAGAAAAAGTATGATTAAGTAAAATTGGTGAAACTTTTATCAGATCTGTGTGTGTGTGTGTGTGTGTGTGTGTAAAATGTATTTCCTACTTGGGTCCTGGTCAAAAAAGTGCTCTAGGAAGTAGAACTAGGTTGTGGACAATAGTTGGGCTGTATTTTTCTCTTTTATTTTTCTGCTCATCTGTTTGAATTTTTAACTTATGCATGTATTATTTTTATCATAATAATTTAAAATATGTATCTGTTTTTTAATACCTTAAAAATACAAATTTATAAGCTTCCATACCATAATGTGGCATATTTCCTAACAAAAGCAAATATTAGGCAATTTTTCTAAAGAAACAAAATGACAAGCAATCTTACCATCACTTAGCAAGAAAGGAAAAATTAACAGTAAGTTTTAAAGATTACTCAAGGCTCAAAAGAGGGAAGGCTGGGGCAGGGCCAAGAATTTAAGACTTTAGGAGTCCAGGCAATGGATTAAGTAAGAAGAAGATAAAGCAAGAGAAATCAAACAGTTTAAATATCACTGTCACAATGTAAACCAATGCTAAGAATGATCTTGAATCAACAAATCATTTTACCTTATTGTCTCTGTGTGATGTTTCACCTATCAGTGAACACTATAATTGCTTGCATTTCTATGGTGACTTTAAACTTAACTCGGTTTGCCCTTACAGCAAATATGAGACAATTCTTGAGTACCTTCTTGCCCAGATCCTCCCTTTTCTAAAAGCTTCTACTCCATTGGGGTGAGACCTCTGTGGCCACATGCACTTTGTGACCCACCACCTAGCCATACCTACTTTGACCAAGGAAAGACTACTGACCCAATTTGTACTGGTCAGACTTTCTCTCCTAGGAATTTAGAATTAGAACTCAGAAATGCTGGTCATTTTGTATTGGTCACTTGGGGAAAAAGGGTATCATTCTGGGGCAGCCATATTTGGCCCATAGATACACAGAAAAGAATTCATCTTCCTAAAAAGGAAAGAATAAAGCACAGAGGAAAGGCTATTAATTCATTAAGTCAACAAATACTTATGAAGAACCTAGTGTTCTAGGTACTATTCTAGGTACTAGGGATACAGCAGTGAATAAAACCGAGTCTGTGCCCTTGTGGGTATATATTCTTGGGAGAGGGAGGCAGATGATGAACAAATAAATATTTAAGAAAATGTCAAGTAGTATATAAAAGGTTCTATGAAGAAAAATAAAGGGTAAGGGAAGAAAGTTTGACATTGGGGTCAGGGAAGACCTCTCTCAGGAAGTAATTGAGCAGAGACTTGAACCAGTTGGGGAAGCAAGTCAAAAATATATCTGGAGGAATTGCTTTCCAAGCTGCAGTTCTAGTACATGCAAAAACTTTGAGTTGGGAACATTCTTGGGACGTTCAGGAGACATAGTGGCAAGAAGACAGAAAAAAAAATCTACACCTAGATAAGATAAAGAGGAGATCTTAAAAACATCCAGAGAGAAAAGATAAATTGCCCAATTATTAAATAAATAGGTTAAAGATGGCCTCTGTATATTGGTTCCTATGTTGTTTACTTATTCACAACAGGCTAGGACCATTAGATCAAAACCCACCAGCACCAAAGTCAAATTTTTATACATCTAATTGTTTTAAGCGTAGCCCAAATAAGCAGATTTCTAGCCACTTAGATACTACCTATTTGACATATCCCACAAAACTGTACCCAAACTCTTCTAGCTATAGATAAGACTAACCTTGTAGCTATAAAAGACCCCAAACTGGGCTGCCCTTCAGAGATCTCTGACCCAGAGATTCACCACCTTACCACTGAGTGACATATCCTAGACATGTAGCCCCCTCTCTGATTCCTGTCTCCTTGGGAGTTCCATTGCCCTTTTCCTCTTCTGAGTGGTGGCCCCATGCTGCTGTCTCTGGAAAAATCTCTTGCTGTGAGTGACTTTTCCTTTCATGCAGTTCTGTCCAAGTGCCACCTAATAAGCATTATTATGCAATACTGCCATCTCATTGTTCTGTCTTTTCCTTGATCTCTAGAAATCCTTGAACTCACCACACCAATAGAATAAAATTAGATTGAAATTGACTTTTCAGTTGTAACAATATAAGTCAGAAGACAACGGCATAATATATTCCAAGTAACAAGAGCAAATAAATGTCAGCCTAAAATTTTATACCCAGCTAAACTATAACTTGAGAGACCAAAAATTGAGACTCCCTACTAAAGGATATAGTTCATAATTAAATAAATCATACCACAAGGAAGGAATGAGAGACCCTTCTCAAAAGAAAAGAATAGCAGAGGGCAATGGGAGCAGGTAAATATATGGGGAATATCTAAACGGGTATTATTCATATAAAACAATGATAATAATAATGACTCATCAGGGAGTACAAAAATAAGATGAAGCCAAAATACTAATGGTAATAACATGAACAATGGGGTAGAGTGAACACAGGAAAACTATTCCAGGCCCTTGTTTTATTCATGATCAAGGTAGATATATTTAGCAATTCCAGACTCTAAATGTTTATATTAAGGATATAACTAAAGAATATATGTAGAATGTACTATTTCAAAATACAGTAGTGAGGTAACTAAATTTTATTTAATGCAGTAGATAGCAGCAAGAGAAAAGAACAGATTTTTTAAAGTAAAAAGATGTTTTTTAATTTTTAAAGAGAAAAGTATGAGATAAAATGATAAGAAATAAACCCAAATATATCAGTAAATGGACCCAACTCACCAATTGAAAAATAGACATTATCAGGTAAGAAAAAAGAAAACATACAAAAATATACCTGAATTGAATTTACAGGAACTATAATATGAGGACATAGAAATACTTAAGTAAAAGAAGAAGTTCTGCAATAAGAGAAAAAAAAGTTAAAGGATTGGAAGGAAATGAATAAAACCATTATTATTTTCAGGTGATATGATTTTCTACATAGAAAAATCCAAGGGTCTGCTGACAAATCATTAGACTTAAAGAATTTGTCAAAATGTCTGATACAAGATTTATATACAAAATTTAAATGCATTTTGTATGCAATTAGGAAAATAATATTTTAAGAAATAATTTTTATGATAGCAAGAAAAAAGTATAACATCCTTTGGATATTAGGCAAGGCCTTACAGAGAAAATTATAAAACTTTAATGAAAACAGACATATAAGGACTTCCCTGGCTGTCCAGTGGTTAAAACTTCGCCCTCCAATGTAGGGGGTGCAGGTTTGATCCCTGGTTGGGGAGCTGGGATCCCACATGCCTCGTGGCCAAAAAACCAAAATATAAAAATAAAAGTAACAGGGCTTCCCTGGTGGTGCAGTGATTGAGAGTCTGCCTGCTGATGCAGGGGACATGGGTTCGTGCCCTGGTCTGGGAAGATCCCACATGCCGCGGAGCGGCTAGGCCTGTGAGCCATGGCTGCTGAGCCCGTGCATCCGGAGCCTGTGCTCCACAATGGGAGAGGCCACAACAGTGAGAGGCCCGCGTACCACCCCCCAAAGAAAAAAGAAATAGAAGTAACAAATCCAATAAAGACTTTAAAAATGGTCCACATCAAAAGAAAAAATATCTTAAAAACATATATATTGAGAAATATAATCACACTGTTGGCTAGAAAGACAATATTATAAAGAAGACACGTCTTTCAAAATTGATCTATCCAAATTAATTTCGATTGAAATCTTAGATGGATTTCTTTAACTTGCCAAGCTTGACAGAATTTATATGGAAAATCCAAGACTCAAAAATAGCCAAGATACTACTCAAGAACTGGGGAAGATTTGCTGTGTCACATATCAAGACTTCTTATAAATATATATTAAGTAAAACATATTGACAATGGCCCAGTGATAACAAATTGACCAGTGGAAACAGAATAGAGTCAAAAAACTGATCCATACATATACAGTAACTTGATTTATGCCAGATGGGTATGATAGATGACCAAAAAAGGATGAACTTCAATAAATGGCACTAGCCTTTGAACTGCTTACCTTCAATTTTCTTGTTAAATGAGATCATAAATGTCTACATTGTTTAAACTACTGTTAGATTTTTCTGTTACTTGCAGCCCAAAGAATTCCTGATACAGACCCTAGTATCCCTTGGCCAAGGACATGTGAATAAAATGGTCCAATCAAAGTGGATCCTGGGACTTGTTAAGGAACAACAGGGAAGAGACAATGCCTCTTCTATAAATTTGAATCTGAGTGAATATGTGCCTGAAGTTTCTGGGGACTACCACATGGAACCTGAGAGTGAAGACAACGCAGGGGAAGACAGAGTGAAGGATGCAGAGTAACTAAATCTTGGTGACAGAGTTTGAACCTTTAAAATGAGACCCTCCTTCTCCTGTCTACACATGGACTTTTCAATTATGTAAGCCAATAAATTCCTTTTTATTTATTTAAGCCATTTTCAGTTGAATTGCCTGTTTTATGCAACTGAAATGATCTGACTAGAAATGGTAAACTCAGCTCACTTTCTCAAAGAGTTTATCATAGAAACCATGAACATTCTACTGAATTTTTTAAATGTTGCTGGCTGAAGATGGATGTGACTAATAAAGCCAGTGTACAACCAATATATAGATGAGACCACAAGAGCAGTAACTGGTTTGATTGAACATTTGGGTCATGCTAATATTTATATCTTTTGAAAATTCTAAGAAAAACAAAAAGACTCTTTCATCATGTTTTATTCAATAAAACTGAAGCTGAGGGGTTGAGAAGGAGCAATCATATAAGGTCAGGAGGGCTTAATTTTGTTAGCCAAGTAATAAGCATGCATGGGATTGTAGAAAATAAATTCTTGCCTCATTCTCTAGGTTTATGGAAAAATTTTTTTACAAATACGCAGTGTAAACTGCTTTTAAAATTCTGGTATTTTGTTAACTAGGGAGTCTTGCTAGGATGGCTAACAAAGCAGAGACTGAAGAAAGTCTGAAAGTCATGAGACACAAGAGACCACATTTGCATTTTTAGAAGATTTTTCAAAATAAAAGAGATCTAAAAGTCAGATAAATACGAAATGGATTCATGACAAAGAAAGTGATCTACAGAAGTAGTTCTCAAAATTAATTTTAGCATTGGAACTTTTTTCCAAATGAAATTTTAGAGAGAATTTCAATATGTAAATTAGACAAATGTATTTGTTAGTATAGATTTGTTTTTTAATTTAACTATATAACATTTGCTTATTAAGGAGTAGAGGAAGGATGCTACTTTGTTGAACACACTAAAATTTTAAAATCAAGCGTTATGGCATGCGGGATCTTTTTTTAGTTGCAGCATGTGGGATCTTTCTGCAACTAAAAGGTCCCAACTAAGACCCGGTGCAGCTAAATAAATAAATAAATAAATTTAAAGAAGAGTTATGGATGACAGTTCCTGTCTTTTATTATCATTAGCATTTAATTAATTTATTTATTTTAGCTATGCAGGAGTAAGATAAATATTTGCAAATAGTAATTTCAGGGTACTTTTAAATTAAGCTGACTCAGAAGCCTGAGAAAGGAGTAGTAGATTTTCAAAAATTTTATTTCAAGGTTAAACCATTAAGCACATCTATTAGTAGAACTAATTATCTTAAATATAAAGGTTAGAGAAGAAGGAACTAAAAGTTACAAGGATTGCTTAAAATACTTATAATAGGATACAGTATTATGACACCACACTTACTTGTTAGTCTGTTGTTTTTGTTGCATAATCGGCTACAATATAATTTTGCCTCAACAGAGAATTTGAACATTTAACTGGTTTTTAACTGAGCATGATGCATGTGTGTTGTGGATTTGTGCTCATTTGTACAATTTTATGTCGGTAAATGTGCTGACATGTCTTAATTTTTAAAAATTAAAAAAAGAAAAAATGCAGGACCATAATTTTCAATTTAATCTTCATTTATGAGACATTTAAGTGAGCATGCAAACATTATGATGAAGAAATCACAAGGACTGTTCACAGATATTTCGGTTCTCTTCCTGGATATGGGTAGGATTGCACTTCCTGGCCCACTTTGGAGTTGGCTGTGGCCATGTGCCTTGCTTTGGCAGGTGAAATGTGAGCACCAGTAATACATATCAGTTCTGGGCAGATGTTTTAAGCGCCCCTACACAGTTCTCCATGTTTCCTTACCTCTGCCACAGTTATCAAAGAAGCACACTAATGAGGAGTCTCCATCAGCCTGGATTCCTGAGTGATGATGAACAGAATCCCCTGCTAACCTGCACTGAATATGTGTAAAGTCACAAACTATGGGTAAACCGAAGCAGCCAGTTAGCAGAAAGGGGAGAGGGGACAGACTTGCAGAGAGTATCTGAGATACCATGAGAGAATGATGAGAGAGAGCGGCCAATCCCTAGAATTTCTTTGGTTCCAGGTGCTTTCCAGGTCCCATGGGTTCTAACACTAAAAACCCCACATTGTTCTATGGAGCTTGAACAGGACTCCTGATACTTGAACAACAACAAGCTAAATAAAACATGTATTTCCACTTAACAAGGTGTCCCCAAAATGCATATGCTAAATCAAAAGTTACAGGCATTTTAATATATAATGCCAAATGTCACACACTAGCAAGGAGGAGCGTGCCCCTTTCACAATACAGTAGTCTTCACAATACTGGGTGTGCACTTTATAAAACAAAACAAAGTGGGGGAAAAAGCTTTGCTAATAGGCAAAAAAAAAGTTAAATCTATTAATCAGCATTTCTTAATTAGTGAGGCTGACTGTTTTTCAAATGTTTTTAAGTCATTCCTTTTGTAATTAAAAAAATTAATTTCTCTTGCCAATTCATTTATTAGAATCTTAAAGGTTTCTTATGGGTATATATGTGCTTTCCATACTGCAATACTTATCACAAATATTTGCCCAGGTTGGTTTAGCTTTCAGATTTTTATTATGCTGGTGGTTTATGTCAATTTTTAACCTTTGTGTAGTCAAACATAGATTTTCCTTTATCGAGTGACATATTGCCCAGTACTTTGTTAGCATCTCCTATGACTGTTTATTGTATAAAATTATTATTCTAACCACTTTTGTGTGCTTTGTAGATTGACATCTTTTATACATAACTATTCATATCATTTCCCATATTTTTCCTTTTAAAGATCAAACTGATTGATTCGCAAACCCCAGCTCTTTTTTCGACTTTCTTTAATAAAATATGTAATTGTTCCACTGCATATACTAGCAATCATACCTCCTCTGCCCTCAAACAAAGATGGTTCAAATTTTAATCTTATGTTATTTATTAAGCTGCTGAAAATGATTTTACTGACCACCAAAGAAATACACCTATCTTTACCCCTGAACTTCATATCTAGTGTGTGTGTGTGTGTGTGTGTGTGTGTGTTTCTGAAATCCTTTGATATCCTCGATTTTACACTTTTATTTTGAACTTTAGGCCAATGGGCCTTCAGTTTTAATTCATTTTCAGCAATTGTTCCATTTTGTATATTATAACAGTTAAAAATAGTTTAAGGTTACTGTCAAATCAAACATTTGGAAACAACAGTAGACAGCATTCTGCTTCCTGAGGGCTGTTGTGACCTAATCCTAACATGACTTTTTGTCCAGATAGTTCACTATGGTTCACTCTCTTTCCTGTTGACCCTACAGTTGTTGCCAGGACACAAACCTGATCTAACTCTGCTGCTTAAGAAGCTTCCATGGCTCCCAGTCACCTACAGGTAAAATCAAAACTCCTTAGAACAGAAATCTTTTTTTTCCACCATCTGGCCCCCCTAAATTTTTACCTTCATTTGCACACCTCTTAAAATGAGCACAGGAGCTGCAGCCACACAGAGGTGATTGTCAGTCTCAACAAATTATTTCCCACATCAGTGCTTTTGCACTTGTTGTCCCATTTAGAATGTCCTGCACTTCTCTCCCCGCTTCCCAACCCCAATTCTTAGTATCCTTCAAATGCCAACTCAAACTTCACTTCTGCAGTGACAGCTCCAAGTTCAGACTGTCTGGCAGTCAGTCACCTCCTCCTCTAGGGACTAGACAGTCATATTCAAGTGGGGGAAAGAGACATAGAAAGAAATAATCAAACACATGGTCAAAAAGACCATGAACTCTTTAAGGACAAAGACCTCATCATTTACTCACCTCTGTGTCCCCTGCACCTACCAGTCAAATAAGTGTTGAATTGAATTTAACTGAATCATGCGGAATGAGTTTAATAATTGTATTTCACTTTTAAGAATATCAACTATGTGGATTTTCTAGTTATAGTTTCATAATTTGACCTTAAAAAATAAACTACAAAATGGTTGCTAAAATTTTACAAATGTTTGTATTATCAGTTAAATTTATTTATTGCATTTTAAAAAATTATGTAGTGTTGTTTTTTACTTTAATGGGGTCTGTATAATTCATAGAATCTATGTTAATGTCTCAGGGTAATTTTAAAGCATGTAAAGCATAGAAATAATATTGGAATGGATAGCTGAGATACAAATATTAAAGTATAGGAATGTGCCAAAAAGAAACTCCTGCCTGAAAAGAACACTTGTTTCTTGCAGAGGGCAAAACCCTGACATCTTTAATAAGGTATTGCAAAATCTGCTCACTCACCCACCCTACCCATGGAAGGCAAAGTCAACGTTCTGACTGAGCTTAGTTTAGAAACTTTGGAACCATGTGTTTAAAGAATGAGACAGGTTTGTCAAGACTTTCTGCCAAAGCACATCACAAATTTAACATGTGCTTACTGCCTGCTCTTAAAACCTAGTTTCCATGAGCCAACCAGCTGCTGGCATTTGGGATATCTTCTAACTAGTTATGTCTCAAACCCAGCCACATCTTCATTTCCCAAAGGAAGCTCCAGAAACTTTCTGCTGTCTCCTCTGTCTCTCATATGACTTGTTAACTCTGTTTTATAAAATTCCTCAATTTTAACCTTAGAGCCATGATATTAAATTTATAAACATGAAAATACAGATATTAAAATGTTGGTAATGAAGTTAATCACCTTCCTGATAAACCTGCTCATCCTGTATACTCTTATGATGCAACCATCTTTGCAAACATCCACCTGAAAAAAGTTAAAGTCATAACAATAACAGCTAACACTTATTGAGTGCTCTTAATGTCCTAGGTGCTATGCTTTTTTATCTCCTTTAATTCTCACAGGAGTGAGATGACTTGAACATATGTTCCTGACCCCCTGCCCCTTTCTTCCTTTCCTCCCCCTAATTCCTTACTGGAGCAGCAAACCCTTGTTGATAATGTGTGTTTCTGAGGATGTCCATAGAAGAGGGTATATACTGGACATATGAGGTCTGTAACTGTGGAAAGCCAACTCCCTTTGGGAAAAATAGTGCTGCACAAGTAGACGGAATCATTCTCCTTCCTAGTGTCTGAGTAAAGTGTTTCTCTCCCTTGTATTTGGAGAGCCTGAGAATAAAGTATAGAATACTAGAGTAGTGGTTCTCAAAAGGTTGTCCCTGGACTTGTAGTAATGACATCATCTGGGAATTTATTAGCACTTGTTAGAAATGCAAATTCTCGGGCCTCACTACAGGCCTATGAGACCCAAGAAGCTGTGTTTTGTTTGTTTGTTTGTTTGTTTTGCGGTACACGGGCCTCTCACTGCTGTGGCCTCTCCCGTTGCGGAGCACAGGCTCCGGATGCGCAGGCTCAGTGGCCATGGCTCACGGGCCCAGCCGCTCCGCGGCATGTGGGATCTTCCCGGACCGGGGCACGAACCCGTGTCCCCTGCATCGGCAGGCGGACTCTCAACCACTGCGCCACCAGGGAAGCCCAGAAGCTGTGTTTTAATAAGACCTCCAGGAGATTGTGATACATGTCTAAGTTTGAGAACAGGACTATAAGAGCAGACGGCTTAATATCCTCCATCTGCTGGAAACAGCCAGCTGACCTGTAAAGGTTCTGAGGAACTCCTATCCATTATAGGGCATAGGAAATCACAATGCATTTAATAAACTCAGTAATTTGAGGGAGATTTACCCAGACCAACCAGAGGGGGTGACTCCTCGAAGACAGAAGATAACTTTAATGTTAGTAGCAGCCCTGTTAGCTCCCTTAGTAGGAATCAAGGCTTAGAGAGGTTAAATAACTGTTCAAGGTCACACCACTAGTGAGTAACAGAACCAAGATTTGAACCCAGGTCCCCTCCTTACCTTCCGTATATAAATTCCAATTCTGTCTATCTCAACTGTTTCTGTAGGATTCATACTTTTTTAAACTTTGTTTTAAATCGTGATATAACATGCATACAATATGGCTCTCTTCCCTCTGGTGGTAACTACTATCTTGGCTTGTTATTTTTTCTTTATTAAACGTCTTTCTTTATTAAGCGTCCATAAGCATTCTTAAACAACATAGTTTGGTTTTTTCCTGTCTTGAACTTCTTATAAAAAGAATCATACTGTTTATATCCTTATGTGTCCTGCTTATTTTGCTCAACAGCATGTTTGGGGCATTCAACCATGTTGTCTTATGTAGCCATAGTTTATTTTCATTGCTATATAGTGTTTCATTGGGTGAATAATATTTTATTCATCCTGGAATCCATCATTTCTTCATTCCCACTGTCACTCTACTTCAGACATTCATTAAACGATTCCTTATTATTTAAGTTATCCCAGTGGACCTTAACTATTCTTATTTCCAGCTTTCCCCAACTGCTGCCAGAGGATTCTTCTAAAAGTCAGCATTGATCATGTACCTCCTGTTACAAGAAGTTGTAGGAGGGGAGGAAGAAGAAAGGCTGGGAGGCAGGCAGCAACACTTTTTTGGTTTTTATTCTAAGGTCAATGCAAAGCCCTATCTGGCTAATAGTTTTGACTTTTTTTTTTTTTTTTTTTTTGGCCACACCGTGTGGCATGTGGGATCTTAGTTCCCTGACAGGGTATTGAACCTGTGCCCCCTGCAGTGGAAGCACAGAGTCCTAATCACTGGACCGCCAGGGAATTCCCTAAATTTCTGTTGTTATATATATATAAAAGCAATGGACATTTATTCCTCACATCTCTGAAGGCCACAAGCCATGCTCCTTCTCTCTAAAGACTCTAGGGGATAATCCTTCCTTGCTTCTTCCAGCTTCTGGTGGCCCAGGTGTTCTTTGGCTTGTGGCAGCCTAACTCCAACCTCTGCCCCTGTCTTCACATGGCCTTTTCCTCTGTGTCTTTCTTCTCTTCTGTCTCTTGTACGGACAGTGTCATTGGATTTAGTGCCTACCCTAATTGAGGATGATCTCATCTCAAGATCCTTAATTATATCTGCAAATATCCTTTTTTCCAAATAAGGTCACATTCACAGGTTCCAGGTGGACATATCTTTTTGGGAGACACTATTCAACCCACATAATGTCACATTTTTCTTTATCTAGTTACCTAATAATAGACACTTGAATTCTTTATTTGTTTCTTTCTTTCTTTTGGCTATTATGAATAAAACTGCTATGAATATTCCTATACAAGGCTTTTTGTGGATACGTTTTCAGCTTCACAGTTTTGAATTCCAATTCTAATTATCTTAATATAAGATGTGATTAATTTTAAGTGGTAATTACCCATAGTGACATTTTTAATTCTGGCAGGAACTTTTGTAAGAATTGATCAGCATCTATATACCTGATCTAAATATGTTGTATAAGTGAAAACATAATACTGCCAAGAGACAAGATATGGAATTCTAATAAGTATATTTATTTTTGTTTCTCAAGATACTATCAAGAAACAAACAAGTTTCAAATCAGGAAACATTGACTTTAACTCCTTAAAATAACAGAAATACCTGATTAAAGTTAACCCCTTAAAATAACAGCAATACTTGGTTAAAGTAAAAAACAAAAACACTGCTTGACTCCATTCTGTCAGTTCTTTGTTTTGTTATGATACTTTGCATTCCCGTGCTTAAAGCCATCACCATGGCTAAATTTGATACATTTATCTCATTATGGGCCTGACTAACATGGACCATTCCACTGGAATGGATTTAAATGCAGTTCCTTAACAAACAAAGCCATCCATCTGGGATATTCTACCCTTAGATTCTGGTAGGTCCATCGTTAATAGAACTACTGGGATGTGGTTTGGAGGCTTTCTCCCGTGTGTCTGGCTTCTCCTCTACAATGAAAGCGTCTTAGAGGAGAGGAACTCTGTCTCCTTCACCTGTGTATCCTCCAACTCCAGGCCCATCTCAGTGCTTTCTTAGCCTTATAAGTGTTTCCTGACTAAATAGTGCTTGTGAATAAAAAATAAGAAGGAAGATGCTGATAACTCTACTCTTCATAGTAGAGTAATTCCAATAATACAGAGCAGTTCTTGTTGATGAAATTTCTTAGAAATTGTTTTAATAAATGATTCCTTTTTAATCTATTGGAAAGCCTCCCAGATTATTACTTACACTGGTAGTTTCTTATTGACTATTTGCTTCATTTATTCAACAATACTAGGAACTGGTGATTGGCTACAGTATTCATTTATAAGAGCAATTTAAAACACTACTCAGAAACAAACAAACAAACAAAAAACACTACTCAGGCCCTGATGAAACTTGACAAGTGTAACAGAGAAAAGTATAGAGTTCTTGTTATACTTTTTAGACAGCTTAAAAATGGTCCTGTAAAATGGTTTGCAGTTTTAAAGATAGGAACAAACTTATGTAATGTGCTCTGTCATTACCACCCCAGTCTTTTGCAATGTGTGTAAATCAA